AACAACAACATAGTGTAACTTCAAACTGTTATACCTGTGGAGCAGAAAATAGGTTTGCTTCTTCCTCTCTGTGACAGTACTTGAGATTTTCATCATGTGCCCCCTTCAGTCTTCTCTTCACCAGCTTTATAATGCCCACCTCCTTCAATGTCTCCTCATATGATTTGTTCTTCATACCTCATTGTCCTTGTCTGAACCTGCTCCAAATTATGAGTAATTCCTCTTCCAATTAGGTGTCAATTAATGCAAGGCCCAAGGAATGCTGCAGCACTGGCCATTCCAGGATGGATATACTCTTCAGTCTCAGATGCAACTGGCCATCACTTCCTTCAGAAGGCTTACAGATATTATTGTACTTTAACTGCTGTGACAAGACTGTGGAATTCTGGAGTTTGTAGTTTCATGAAAACTAAGAGCTTGATGGCTGAGAACTCTAAATCCTTATCCTTAAACTGTTGACCATAGGAATCCATAGGATGTTGCCATAGCAGTTAAGAGTAGAATGATAACACTACACTAATATAGTGTGGCACAGTGGTTAACTGCGTGTCATTAACTATGCTTACTTGCATGGATTGTGACACAGGTTGCGCGGAGGTTGGCGAATTCTGGGTAAGAGCAGAATTCAAAACAATATTAACAGATGAGAGAGATGGGCCAAAACTAACAAAATAAAGTTCAGCAGAGACAACTGCAAGATACTCCACTTACGCAGAAAAAATGAAATGCAAAGATACAGAATGGGGGACGCATGGCTCGAGAGCAGTATGTGTGAGAAAGATCTTGGGGTCCTTGTGAACAAGTTGAATATGAGCCAACAATGTGATGTGGTGGTTTAAAAAAGCCAATGGGATTTTGGCCTGTATCAATAGGCTGGATCATGCTACCCCTCTATCCTGCCTTGGTTAGACCACATCTGGAATATTGTGTCCAATTCTGGGCACCACAATTGAAGAGAGATATTGACAAGCTGGAATGCATCCAGAGGACGGCGACTAAAATGATCAAGGGTCTGGAGTACAAGTCCTATGAGGAGCAGCTTAAGGAGCTGGGCATGTTTAGCCCGAAGAAGAGAAGGCTGAGAGGAGATATGATAGCCATGTATAAATATGTGAGAGGAAGCCACAGGCAGGAGGGAGCAAGCTTGTTTTCTGCTTCCCTGGAGACTAGGACACGGAACAATGGCTTCAAACTACAAGAGAGGAGATTCCATCTGAACATGAGGAAGAACTTCCTGACTGTGAGAGCCGTTCAGCAGTGGAACTCTCTGCCCCGCGAGTGTGGTGGAGGCTCCTTCTTGGAAACTTTTAAACAGAGGCTGGATGGTCTGAATGGGAAGGGACCCCCCTCCCCCCCCCCCCCCCCCCCCCCCCCCCCCCCCCGCCCCCCCCCCGCGCCAAGGTCAACGCCCCCCCCCCAAAGCCCCCCCCCAACACCCCCCCCCCCCCCCCCCTCCGCCCCCAGCGCGCCCCCCCGCCCCCCCCCCCCCCCCCCCCCCACCCCCCCCCTTGTCGATGCTTTGAATGCAATTTTCCTGTTCTTGGCAGAATGGGGTTGGACTGGTATGGCCCATGAGGTCTCTTCCAACTCTATGATTCTATGATTCTCGGTCACAGTCCCTATACGGTTCCGGCCTAGTGTATCTGTCCGAACGCATCTCCCTCTACGTCCCACCTCGGAGTCTAAGATCTTCTGGGGAGGCCCTGCTCTCGACCCCACCTCTATCACAAGTGAGATTGGCGGGGACGAGGAGCAGGGCCTTCTCGGTGGTGGCCCCCCACCTGTGGAATTCACTCCCCGGGGAAATTAGATCAGCGACATCACTCCTTTCCTTCAGGAAAAAACTGAAAACATGGATTTGGGACCAGGCATTCGGACAATCTGGCAGATAAAGAAAGGACTTTGACAAGGGACAGGAATTGACTAATGGAATGGAATTATGGAACTCTGAAAGACGAACGCTGAGCATGAGAATAGTTTTATTGATGTGTTATATACTGATTGTTTTTAACTGTGATAATTGTTTTAACTATGGTTTTATACGTTATGTGTATGTTGTGCAGGCATCGAATTGTGCCTTTCTGTAAGCCGCCCTGAGTCCCCCCTCAGGGGTTGAGAAGGGCGGGGTAGAAGTACCCAAAATAAATAATGCTGGCCACATGATCTTGGAGGTGTCTATGGACAACACTGGTTCTTTCGCTTAGAAATGGAGATGAGTACCAGCCCCCAGAATCGGACATGACTGGACTTAAGGAGACTTAAGGGGAAAACCTTTACCTAGTAAAGTGTGATAGGGCTCATAGAGTCTCCCACCAGGAAGTCTGTCCTACTTCAGAAACTAACCTTATTCTTCCTTACTTTCCTGTCTTCTAGGCAACATGCTGTCACCTGCCAACTTGGACTGGGACATGCTTTTGGAGCCTCCATATCTTTTCAGCCCATCACCAGCAGCCATCGAACCAGGAGAGAGTGAGGGCAGCTCTTGGCCACCCCTCCGGTGCCAAGTGGTGATCCATGCGCTCAGTGCAGGAAAGCCAGTCTCCTGGGAAGTGACCGTTGCCTTGGATTCTCTCCTCCTTGCCAAAGATAGCCAAGAGCCGTCCCAGAAGCAAGAGCAGAGCAAAGCCTGGGATAAACTGCTCCACCGCTTGACTGCTGGCTCCGTCATCCGGGACAATGAGAATGTGGCCCAGAGAGAAGCTGAGCTGGAGCATGGTAAGCCCGCTTTTCTTCTCCAGGTCTCTGCACGGCTAGAGCCAGCAACTACTTTTACTGTAGGACTGCCTTTCAGAAGTGGATGGTGAAACTTTCAAAGTTGTTTCCCTTCCTGAAAATATCAATTAATAACATTTAATATCACACAATGAAAACCCATATAAAAGCAATTAAAATGATATAGTCCATGACTATATAAACGACTCCGGCCCTGTTTACCTCTCCGAACGTATTCTCCCCTATGAACCATCAAGATTGGAACTCAAGATCGTCTGGAAAGGCCCTGCTCTCGGTCCCACCGGCCTCGCAAGCGCGCCTGGTGAGTACGAGGGACAGGGCCTTCTCGTTGGTGGCCCCGCGACTTTGGAACTCTCTCCCACTGGAGATCAGAACCGCCCCGTCTATCCTGACATTTAGGAAACAGGTGAAGACTTGGTTATGGAGACAGGCATTCGACGAGTGAGCCAACACCCTGAGATATGGATGGAGGATGATGAGCAACGATTTTAGTGTGACGACTGACCATTATAGTTATTGATTGTAATTGCTGTTTTAATGTTTTACTGTAATATGTATTATGATGTTTTATTGATTGTATGTGATATTATGGTTGGAAACCGGTCTGAGTCCCTCAAGAGAGGTGAGAAGGTCGGTATACAAAACTTTTAAATAAATAAATAATGACTTCTTTTGGATGCAGTCCTTGGGCCTTTTACATACACCTCTTGCCTGTAGTTTGACAACTTGAAGAGCTAACTGGAGGTATTCAGGTGACTATGATAAGACTCTGCCACAGGGATGCCTTATCCTCTGACATAGGTAGGGATTTATTTATTTATTTATTTGCAGTATTTATATTCCGTCCTTCTCACCCCGAAGAGGACTCGGGGTGGATCACAATGCACACATACACAACAAACATTCAATACCATTTTTAGACATACAAGACACAGACAGATGGAGATATTTGGGCATTTCAACTTTGGCAGCTGGAGGTTATGCTCAATTCTGGCGACAAGGGGGTTCTCCTGCTTCATCCACTATGATGCCAAGTCATTTTAATTGTATTTCCTCCTTGCTCTTGGATTGTTGGCATTTTTGTTGTGCTGTAAAATAACTTTCCGCTTTAAGCGGTCTCTAATTTCTCTTCTCAGAGCTCATCAGTTTTCAAACTGCTTAGGTGGACAGTAACCTAGGCTTAACAGTCGGGTGCTCAATCCAACTCGGGCTTCGAACTTGCCACCTTTATTATTATTACTAAACTTTATTTATACCCCGCTACCATCTCCCCAAGGGACTCGGTGTGGCTTACATGAGGCCGAGCCCACAATACATCAATACAAGCAATAACAACAACAGTAAAACAGATTAAATAAAACTCATAACAAAAAAGCAATATACAATGACAATAATACAACACACAATTAAAATCTATGGCTGGGCCAAATGTAATTAAAGTTAAAAATAATGCTAGGCATGAATAAGGTAGGAGAGATGGGGCGTTAGTGGGAGCGTACAACAATCCTAAATCAATGTAAAGTGCATTTGGAGGGCACAATGCTGAGAATTCATTATTCTGGGAAGGCACACTGGAACAACCACGTTTTCAGGCTCCTCCTAAAGACTGCCAGAGTTGGGGCATGCCTGATGTCCTTGGGAAGTGAATTCCAGAGTCGAGGGGCCACCACCGAGAAGGCCCTCTCCCTCGTCCCCACCAGTCGCGCCTGAGATGGAGGTGGGAGCACAAGGAGGGCCTCTC